GGCAGGCCACTGGGATATAGGGAAGGGCCTGCCTCCTCAGTTGACATTTCGGGTGCTGGCTGCATGCGGCGACAGCGCTGCTGCGCTATTTGCTGGCTGGCGCCCTCGCACTCACGGGCGAGTGTGGAAGAAGCAGGCAGCCATAGCCACGCTGCCTGCTGTAAGCTGGGTTGGGCGCAGGTTGGTCCTTGGGTGCTAGAGGCATCTGTGCGGTGAGGATCGGGGTTGAGAACGAAGCGGGAGTCATACCTGGTGCTTGAGGCGAGCGGCATTGGCCGCATATGCTCGTACTTCGGTGAAGCTGTTGACGTCAACTTCGGCATTGTAGTAGTAGGCTAGATAGGATCTGCCATCTTGTAGTCTGGGCGCCGAGCGCCAATAGGATACCAACTCTTGTTCTTTGTTGATGATGATGAGAGACAACTTCAGCATTGTCAATTATGAACTATTGCTGTGTTCTTATTTGGTATAACTCGTGATGCCATTCTGCTTATGGTTCGAGGTCATGGCTATTTGGTCACTCATGTATGATGCTGTTTGAGTTCTGGAATTCGCTATTGCTCATCTTCCTTGCAAAAGGAGGAAAGAGAGAAATAGTGTGTCACCTTCGCTCTTGAAAGAGCTGTGAAAACTGCAAAACTGCCCATCCCAGCACTTGCCAATTTCAATATATCTCTTCTTGTTGTTGCATACCTGTACAAGGCATAGGGGAGAGCAAACACCGACAGGAAAGAGCGGTCATTTTCTTAACAAGGGCATCAGCAGTTGAAAGTTCGAACTCGTTCGGCTCGCTCATCTTAAAAAAGAGCAGATACACATCCTATACCATCATCGAACTGAACCGAGTTCAAACTCGGCCCTTGGTAGCTCAGAATTATAGCATGTCACTCATCTTCTTGCAGTTGAGTTCGAACTGCACTGTTGAAATCCAGACCAGAGTTCGAACTCGGCCCTTGGTAGCTCAGAATTATAGCATGTCACTCATCTTCTTGTTGTGGAGTTCGAACTCGGGTCTGGATTTCAACAGTTAGGCGTGTACCAACTGAGATACTAGGCCAGTTGGTTATAAGAGCGATAACGGCAAAATAAAATTAGGGGGAAAGAAATTAAGAACAACGGGAAACATTATCACTGTCCATGCTGCTTGACATGTGTACATAGGTAGAGGACAAACACTCTTAACATGTGCGCGCGCCCAAAAAAAAAAGAAATAGAAAAAGAAAAAGAAAAAGAAAAAGAAAAAGAAAAAGAAAAAGAAAAAAAGCTGCTGGGCAAACGCCCACGGAGACTCAGATGCAATTCGTTAGTCCAATCATATGGACGGTATTATTATTATTCCCACCTCCGTAAAAGTGAAACAGTTTTCACCTTTGGCAGTAGCCGATGCAGATCCCAGGGGTCGATCCCTTGACCTCAGCTTACCTGTGTACAGTATCTGCACAGTTCCCTGGAGTTGAACCCGTGACCTGCACGATAGCCAGTGGTAAGTA